TCATTTTGTAACCATTGACCATAAATCCAATCCTCATGAAATTTTTTTTTAATTTTTTTATTATTATCAGGAAAACCAAGAGCCTACCTAGGAAGCAAATGTGCAAACAGTGCAATAATAAAAAAAGAAACAATATCCAAACAAGTGGCATCTGATAATTTTGCTTTCGACATCAACGAAACCGAGGAATCAAATACTCTAAAACAAAAAAATGGAATATTAAAAGAAAGAAAATCTTCCAGAAACCAAAATGGCATTGATGATGGTAAACATTGTTATTCCAATGAAGATCCCGAATGTTCTGATGAAAATATTATGAATGGTGAGAAACCTTCTACTAAAATTGCCGATGATGATGTTATAATAGCGAAAAATTATGTTCTGAACAAAATTCAATTAAAAGACGAACCTGGAAATATTGGGACTTTCAGAAAGTTAGATCATGATTAAATTGAACCCTACGAGGTAATTGTTTATACTTAATTAGTAATATAGTGTTAAACTTTACAAAAGTGCTAAGTGAGAGTGAACTTAAAATTTGGTGTAAATAACACCAAGAAGAGATTACTTAATTATTTTTAATAAATAAGAATACAAATAATAACATTAGATCAAATTAGTATCAAACATACTATAATATTTAATTTTATATTCTATGACTAAAGTAAGTAGAAGTAGTTTATTATAAAAAATATAAATATAGCATATTTATATTTTTTTATGGATAAGATATGTTACTAAAGAATATTAATTGAAACTGTGATTAATGAATTATAAGTATCATTAAAATAGGTTTATATTTATTTATGTTAATTTATATTTACATAATCGAATATATATATATATATATATATATATATATACATAATAAAATAAGAACTTGAGAATAATTTTTCATTTTAATATTTTCTTTGATGGCGGTAGATGTACTTTAATCAAGATTATTTATATTATTGTTCATAAACGTATATAAACATTATATATATTATATATATATATATATATTAGGGTGGTCCTTAATATGGACATTTTCGTATTTTCTTGCTCCCCAGGAGTCAAATGATTCCAAATTGATAAAAAACAATTCTCTGAAAGTATTAGCTCTTAATATTAACTTTTAGATAGAGCGCGATTCAATCAAAGGTTTGTATGGAAATAGCATGGAAAAAATTTGCAAGCATTTGGCAGAGCGTCGAATTTTCAATGAAAAATTACACGAATTTTCACTTTTAATTCATTTGTTGGATTGAACACTATCTAAAAGTTTATATTAAGAGATAAACTTTCAGAAAATTGTTTTTTTATCAATTTGAGCCCTTGGGAGCAAGGAAATTCGAAAGTGTCCATATTAAGGACCACCCTATATTATATATATATATATATATATATATATATATATATATATATTATATATATATATATATATGATACATTCATATCTAGTATTAGGTTTGTTGAAATATTTAATAATTTGTACTATTTGTTTATAGTAAATAATATTTTTATCGAATACGGTTGAATATATTTCATTACGCTAATAAATTTTATTAAGTATATTATCGTTTTTATATACATACTTGCATAATTTTTTCACTTCACAATTTCACATTCTTTCTTGCACGGATCAACCGATTTGAATGGATCAAAAACATTCGATTCCTATTGATAGGGATAAGTGCTGATTAGTTTTTGGCAAAGGCAGGCTCAGTCATTTTGGAGTTCCAGAGCAAGGAGTGCAGAAAATGCAAATCGAGTTTTTTTATAACGGAGTATCGGATTTGAATGATCTAAAAAGCATTCAATTTGTAATGATTGGGAGAAGAGGTGAATAGTTTTTGGCAAAGACAGGTCCCGCCATTTCGAAGATACAGAGCTAAATGTGCAAAAAATGGCAGTTTTTGAGTGAACTAAGCGTCCGATTTGAATGATCTAAAAAACTTTCTGCTTGTATTGACAAAACAATTGCTTTTGAGGATAAAAAATTATTACATCTTTTTCAAGTTTGTGTAAATTAGGCAACTATTTTTTTGAAATTGAATTCGAAATTTTTTATAACGGAGTATCGGATTTGAATGATCTAAAAAGCATTCAATTTGTAATGATTGGGAGAAGAGGTGAATAGTTTTTGGCAAAGACAGGTCCCGCCATTTCGAAGATACAGAGCTAAATGTGCAAAAAATGGCAGTTTTTGAGTGAACTAAGCGTCCGATTTGAATGATCTAAAAAACTTTCTGCTTGTATTGACAAAACAATTGCTTTTGAGGATAAAAAATTATTACATCTTTTTCAAGTTTGTGTAAATTAGGCAACTATTTTTTTGAAATTGAATTCGAAATGAAATGACGATTGTTAATGTTCTGGAGATAAATTGATTAATGATTCACATTTGATTTGCTCAGATATAAACAAGATATCAAAAATAATGAAAGCTACAGTATTTGTAATAATATGTTTAAAATTTCTCGAATATTTCATTACGGTACGGGAAGTTCCAGCAATTTGCCTTAAGGCACCATGCCATACACCACTAGTCCCATTTATTTCTACAATATTACTATATTTTTATAATCACATACGTCCTAAAAAAATCCTCTAAAAAAGTTCACGAAGATTTAACAAAATCCGATTAGTTTTGGGAGGAGTATATTTACATCATTACAGAGGAATTTTATATATAAGATAAAAGATATATATATATATATATATATATATATATATATGTTCCTCTATATGTGTATGTGTATTATAAAACAAACAATTTTAATTAATCCCATCAGCCCTATTTCCTTCGACGTTCCTTCGGATTTCATAAGGTGTTGATTTATATATGAGAAGTCATATTCCGCTGCAACTGGAGCGTCTCCATCGGAAGGCGAAGCGGGGATCTTAATTGAAAATTCAAAGACAAACCGAAGTCTTGTGGAGATCTGTTATTTGTGATAGATCTGTATTCGTATTTTATAAATGAAACAGCATTCTTGGAAATAGTCAGTCTATTATATTTATAACAGTTTAATATATTTATAAAGTGATACAAGTTACTTGGATGCGATCGGGATACTTGCAGGAAGAATCTTATTGTAAGAGTGACTTGTGTATTTACTTCCCCTAGGGTAAGTTGTAGTAATCGCAAAAAAATCGAAAACGAAAATTTTTATATACTGTTAGGTTTCAGAAGTTTCTGAACATTTTGGCATACCTAAGAAAAAATTGATATATGTTTGTGTGTGTGTGTGTGTGTGTGTGTGTGCACGCGGATACAAATTTTCGTCGACGATTTCGGGAATACGGGTCAACCGATTCGAATAATTAAAAAACTAGTGGGGCGCATGGCATCGTGCCTTAATTCAAATTGCTAAAACTTCCCGTACCAAAAATTTTTTTTTTTTAGAAGATTAACATATTTGAAAAAAATTCCTCTGAAAAATTAGATTTTTGAGAAACTAAATTTTTGACAAAAATTTACTTTTTTTTGATAAAAAAGACGTTTTGAAAAAATGTGTATTTTGATATATTTTGGAAATTCTGAACTTTTTTCCAAAGCAATCACACTGCTTTAACTGCATAGAGACGAAATATCGAACACACATACACACACGCACACACTCACCTACACACAGATACACACACACACACATACATCCATTTTTTCTAAAATATGCCAAAATATTCAGAAACCTCTGAAACGTAAAGATATATAAAAATTTTCATTTTCGATTTTTTTGCAATTACTGTAACTTACCCTACGGGAAGTTAAACATTCGATTCGTATTGATAAGGAGATGTGCTGATTAGTTTTTGGCAGAGGCAGGTCCGCCGTTTCGAAAATTGGGGCAAAAAATGCTAATTGGGAATTTGAGAGAACGGAGCGTCCTATTTGAATAATTCAAGGAACTTTTTATTTGTATTGACGAAATGAAGAACTGATTAAATTTTCGGAGAGATAGATCCAACGATTTCAAAAATCCAATAAAAAATGTGAAGTTATCAAATAATCTGTAGAGATTTTAATAATAAACAAAAATTTTGTTTACATTTGTATGAGTGCCATACTAAGGTTTATCCATAAGACTGCGACGTGGCGCTTACGCGCTTCAAGATTTCGTCTTTGAATCGCAGCGCGAATACTTTGAAAAACAGTTCAAAATCCTCATAATATAAAAAAATCAAATTTTACAAATAAGGATTTTTACCTTTCCGAAGGAGGAGTTTATGATTTCATCAAAAAATCCAATTTGCTAATTTTATGTTTTCTCGACGTTTCGAGCCATTCTGAATCGAATGAGACCAATTTTGTAAAAAGTATGTGCGTGTGTAAACAGATTTTTTGCCGTAAATCGACGTTTTCTCCAAAACGGCTGCACCGATTTCAAAAATTTAAATGCCATTCGATTTATCTCGATGAAGGCTAGCTTTCCTCAGTTTTGTGCGACGATCAGCCGAGCCGTTTCTTTGTAAATCACAGAAAAGTGAAAAATTTTTCGTCCACGTTTTAGTTCGCAATTCTGAATCGATTTTGAAAATTCAAAAACTATTCGAAAGATATTGGTTGGGATTAAGTTTTTGGTACAGATCGGCCGGGCCGTTTTCTTGTAATAAAGTGTTAAAAAAAAATTCGATGATTTTTATATTTTTTTTGACGGTAGATACCATGGTCTTATAGATCATACTAAAATTATCAAAATTTGAGAAAATGAGTAATTTTTTTGACGTTTGTTAAAATTAAAATAGACGATTTCCTTGGTACAACGACAGAATACTTAGTCTTAATGAACATATTAAACCATTAAAGTCCTACGGAAACTGGTTCAATTATAAAAATTATTGATTTTTGAAAATCCCCTCGGAATTTTAATCACTCACAAATTAATTTATTTTTGATTGATTAAGTCGATTATTTACACTTATCGGGAAGTTTATGTAACTAGCCCCAAGGCAAAATATCAAGGCGAATTTTATATAACTTACTTATTGCAAAATGCTTTTTTTCAGAAAAATTCATGGAATTCGTGGATTCAAGTAATTTTGATGAAGATTTCGGTAAATGGACACCTTCCCGCAAAAGGGCTAATGCTAGGGAACGAGATCGTACCCATAGGTAATTTATAAAATTATTATATTCTTTAACTTTACGAAAAAGAGGTTTGTTTTCGAAAATTTTCACTTTTTAATTATTTGAAAATTGAATGAATTCATTTATTATCATTATTATTACAGTGTCAACTCGGCGTTCCTAATTTTGCGTTCATTGATTCCTACAGAGCCAATGGATAAAAAATTAAGTAAAATTGAAATTATACGACTTGCTTCCAGCTACATTGCACACTTGGCTACAATTGTCATAAAAGGTTTGTGTACTTACCATAAATAAGCATTAGGCTTTTATTTAACTCTTCTAAATTATCTTGAATCTTCATATCATGATTTATAACTTCCCTTAGGGTAAGTTATAGTAATCGCAAAAAATCGATAATGAACATTTTTGCGTTTTAGAAGTTTCTGAACATTTTAGCATACCTAAAAAAATTGTTTCTTGTTTCAAAATAAATATTAGTTTAAATATAGAAAGTGATTAGGATAAAATATAAATAATTTTAACTTTTCAATTATTATAATTTATTAATCATGGATTATTTTTGAATATATTTTCATTTTTATTATTAGGTACTGCAGAACAACCCTGTTTACCAAATAATTTCGACATGAGATTAAATGAAGATTCTCTTCAAATCAAGAGGAGGGCTGTTTGTACATTTTGTATGTCAGCAAACATGAATTTCTTAGATAAATGTACCCTAGCGGCATAAAATAATTTAATTTTTAATTTTTTAAAGATTACTCACATCTATCTTTGAATATAAAAAATACCATGCTTTAGATTGCGAAGAGATAATTTATATTTTTTATCAAATAAAGTGCTCCTTCCCTTTTACTTTTTTTTATTACTTTACCTCCAAGGTTAGGATATATTTTGAGTGGCGTCTAGGTATAACTTTATTTAAAACGTCTGTAAACGTTTTATAATAATAATAGAATCATATTTTTATCTAACATATAAATATATAATATATAAATATAATTAAGATAAATATATCTAATATATAAATAATTATAAGAGCTATGAATTTGAGCACAGAAGAGCAGAAGACCCTCTGTTGAGTGCGAAAAACACTAAAACAAAATTAAGCATATTTGTTCTAAGTTTACCACCCATCAAGCCTCGTAGTTTATGTCTTTGCTTTCAACTGTCAAATTCGAATGCATGGCAGCACCAACTATTTTGTCACTATGGCAACACTTGCAAAATTTCAATCTATATGAGAAATATTTGACAGATATTTTATTTACTTTTAAAATGACAAAAGTATTTGATTTATATTATTTATATTACCTAATTGTATTAAAGTAAATATGATTAGGTAAAAATTAAGTATTGTTATATTGAATTTGTGCTTGATAAATATTTATGTGATAAAATTATTTATGTAAAGAAAGAAATATATACGCTAATTTTATAGATTTACAATATAATAAATTATAAAGGTTTTTAAACAAATTTTATTTTGTATTGGAAGTGATATAAATGTGTCATAATCATGGATTATATGCAAGGGCTTGGACTTAATATTGATACTGTAATGACAGGTACAGTACAAATGAAAAGATAAATTAATTTTTGCTAATTCATATCTGAAATGCCTACCATAATATTATACATAATTCTGTTACCATAATATAATAGTGTTCATCAATAATTTGTAACAAATGCCAATTACTTTCTTTTTACTATCTCAAATTGTATTAAAATGTTTTATCTACAGTATACGGTGAAAAATTCTGACTATTGAAATGTTGTTTTGCATGTTCAAGCTACTTCATAATTCATTTACTATTTTGATTTTTTTCTACATTTGAGGTTATAAATTTTTTTAGATGAACTTAAATCCCGACTTGAACCTACTCTGAAAGATAATTATACTAATAGTTTCAAATTATATTGCAAAGATAGCATGAATGATATATCATCTGCCGATGACTACTCTCCAGCGCAACTGATGAGACATAATTTAAAATATTCACTGGACTTCTTTAGGAACAGTATAGATACACCAGAATCTCATATTAACGATAAAGAAGATGGAATACAAAATCTACAAGTTGTAAATATATGTTATCTTGAAAAATCAAATTTTAATAGTGTTAAAGAATCCAATTTTCTACATGTCAGAGAAAATTTTAGTAACTTGTTGGAAGAATCTTGTAATAATAAAATTAATTCAAGTACATGTAATCAGAAAATTTCTGGTATTGATAATGAAAGTTGTGCAAATGTGGAAAATACTAGTGATAAACTCGAATCTTCCGAAGATGAAGAAAAAAATTTAGAAAGATTACTGGAACCAGACGTTATAATTTATGAAAGCAAGTCTGATAATTCTACAAATAAAGAATGCAGTAAAACTGTTGTAAATGAAAATCAAGGTAAAACTCTTGAAAAAGCAAATGCAGATATTCCTCAGGACCTTACGATTAAAAATAGTGAAGAAATAACTCCTAAAAAGCCCAAAATACGTGAGAAAACGCACGAATGTAACATTTGTCAAAAAGCCTTTATGACCAAACTTCAGTTAACGGATCACATAAGAACCCATACTGGAGAACGCCCTTATACTTGTAAATTATGTAACAAATGTTTCACTCATTCAAGCACATTATCAAAACATTCTCGTACACACACCGGTATAAAACCCTTTCAATGTGACATATGCAAAAAAAGATTTGCTCAATCTGGAAACTTATCTAGTCATCTGCGAACTCACACTGGTGAGAAAAGATATAAATGTGATCTTTGCAATAAAACATTTGTCAATTTAATTCGACACATGCGACGCATACAGGTGAGCGGCCCTTTGTGTGCAGCATTTGTCATAGAGCATTTGCCCAAAGTGGTCATCTGACTTCTCATGTGAGGGAAACACATTCTGGTGAAAGGGCGCATAAGTGCAAGTATTGTGATAAGGCATTTGCCAGGAGTAATGCGCTGACTGTTCATATGCGTCTACATACTGGTGAAACTCCTTTTAAATGTGATTCATGTGAAAAGGTATTCAAATCCAATGGGGCTTTAGTAACACATGCACTCACACACAACAATGAAGACGAAATGGACACTGATGGACCTCTGTTGATGTTTGAAGATAAAATCCAGCTGCTATTAGAGAATGAAGTTACACATAATTCTGAAGAAAGAATTAATTCCAATGGAGCTTTAACGGCTCACAATGTCACATTTACTCCTGAAGGCAAAATGAAACTCACAAGTGGACCTTTATTCACACATGATATTATAAATACCGATAGTGATAAACTTAAATCTTTAATAACACATGAAATAGCTCTGGCAGCTGAAGATACTTTCAGAGCTAATTATATTCAACATGTTGTTACGCAAACTACTCAAAAAGAACTATCATTAGTTTAATTTAAATAAACAAGTATTTTATTATCAGTTTTGTTTTATTATTGTACTATTTTTTTCTTCTAAACTATTCTGTATATGTTTATATATATATATATATATATATATATATATATATTATAGAGCTTCGAACGTGGAATCCAAAATGTAATGAAAAACAAAAAAGTTTTCTAACAAACCATTTCTTTATTTATTTACTGTCGATGTTTTGGAACTAGGTACGTTCCATCTTCAGGACATCTGTCAAGAAGCATGATCTTGATAAGACTTAAGCAAACAATATGTTTAAGAAAAGCAGATGGTAGAATTTTTTAAATAAAATGAATAAAACTGTAGAAAAAATAATGTACAGAAATATGACAATATAATCAAAATGAAAAAGATAAAAATAAATGAGTAGATTATATAACAGAATATTACTTTATGGATTCTTTGTTCATTATATATATATATATATATATATATATATATATATATCCTCAAAAATTTATAATTAGTATGGACATTTGATTTGAGAAAGAAAACTTTAAAATTAGTAATATAAATGGTATTAAGTGGGTTTTCTAAAATTAATATGTGCCATATTTTAAATTAAACCACAACGTTGCAGCCAAAATATGTGACCTTCATTTCACATTATAATATACAATTTTTTTTATTAGAAATAATAAAATCAAGAAAGAAAAACCGCCTGTTGATGAATGGTGTATTTCTTAATTAAAAAAAAAATACAAAATACATATAATTGGTCAAATTATATGTTTAATTAAAAATCCTCAACAGCTGTAGATGTCTTTGAAATGTATTTAAATTAAAACCATACTTAATTCAAATTTTTAATAACTTCTTCAACTTGCTCTTTAGTGTACATCGTAAACTTCTTCGATGGTGTTAGAACCATTAATTCAACGTTTGTTGAATTCATTTTTTCTTCCATAACTTGTTTCAAAATTGTAAGAGCTGTAACAATTGCTTCTTCAACTTTCATTTCTTTGTGGTAAGTTTCCTGGTTAACATAAATTTATATTAATATTGTTTATACAAAATATTTACTTTATATTATTATACCTGTAAACTTTGCTGGGCACCTTCACTTCCAGAACCAATTGCTTTTGCATCAAATTGAACAAATGTTCCTGATGGATCTAAATGAAACAGTTGTGGCCCATATTCATCCACACCTATTCATAAATTAAAAAAAATTAAGAAAATATTTCTGCAATTCAAAGGTAATTTTGATAATTAATAATTAATTTTATCTTTTATTTTTACCAGCAAATAATAGAGCGACACCAAATGGTCTGCTCATGGCTGGTCCATCTTCATCACTATCTCCGAACTGTATTGCTAAATTTGAAACAGCTTGTGCACAAGACTCCACAGTCATGCGTTCATTGTAAACAAACCAATGGTTTTGGCATTCTAGACGAGCTCTATCAATTAACATTCTAAATAACAAAAATAAACAGTATTAGAACTTTAAACACAGTTCAATTTAAATAGTAATTATTTAAATAAGTATATTTTTATCATAGTTATGAGTTTAATATTTTTTCTACCTAGAGTCAGCAACTAGTCCAGAAAATACACATCCGATATGGCTATCAATCTCCACAATTTTTTCGATGCTACTTGGGACTATCAAAGGAGATGTTATCCTCTTTTCCACGGCTAATACTACCCCTTCCGAAGTTGAGATACCGATGGCTGTAGAGCCTAATTTAATTGCCTCTATTGCATATTCGACTTGAAACAATCTACCTTCTGGAGAGAAAGTATTTACTCCTCTGTCATATTCAGATCGAGTTAGAAACATCTAAGAAAAAAATATAGGTTATACTGATGATGCTTAATAGTTTATGCATTATAAAAAATAACTTGTTTTATTTTTTCCAGAAAAAGGTATAAAAACAAGCTTTACGTCTATCTAACCATACCTCGTATTATTGTATAATTGAATTTAGAACTTTGCTTTAGCCGCTATAGCTATTTCTATGTTTAAATGACTTGCTTTACTTTGTCAAATGACGAATGAAAACATGTCTTCGAAAGAGTGCTGCCATATGCAAAAATTGTGCACATTGTCATGTCGTAGCCAATATAAATTTGGATATAAAGTACATATTAGATTTTATGAAATTTAATTGTTATAACATTTTCTATCGTCAATATATAATATATATATATATATATAATAATTCAATTATCTAAACAACAAATTAAGCAACAAATGATTTCGTTTGAGTTTCGCGCTCTTTTTTCAATTTATGTCTTCGTGCAACTTCATTCGACAGTCATCTTGTATGAATCTGTCAAATGTCAATTTATATGTTTAATGGTTATTCTGAAAAAATCGTGTTTTAGAAATTTTTAAAAGTGTATTAAATCGTTCGTTAAGTGCTTAAGATATGAAAATTAATTGAAAATATAATAAAAGACTGATTTTGCTGAAGAATTGGTTTTCACACACATTTTCTTGGAATAATTAGTACTAACTATGTTTTTTTTAGAAGGCCTCTTGATACTAATGTT